CCCGCGGGGGTGCGCGCCCGCCCCCAACCCCCCCCCCCCCCCGGGCCCATGGCTTTCCGGCGTCATCCCCCCTCCTCCCCGCACTCCTGGCCTTGACCCGAAGCCCATCGGGCAGCAGCTCGCTGCCAGGGGCCGGAGCACAGGCGCTGCTCCTGCCCTCCCGCGCCGGCTGCAGCTCCGCTTTTATATCCCTTTAATCAATTTCTTGTGTTATATCACACGTTTCCCTACTCCTTTACAGCGTATCAAGCACCTGCCACGTGCTCATTAATTAGTCAATTACTTTATTTATATGCTAAACGTTATCTAAAGCACCAGTCATTACCAGCATCGTGGCTGTGGTTTGTGTTGTGCATTTTTTATAGGCTTTATGTGCCGTACCCTCACCTTGCCATCAAGGCCGGGGGTGCTTTCATGGACCCCTGTTAACCCTTTGTGGACCAGTCACCAGCTCAGCCCCGTTCCACAGCCCCGCGGTGTCTGTGCAGGTCCCCACCCTTAGAGGACAGTTCTGTAATCACCCGCCATGTTTCCCAGCCCTTCCTCAGACCCCTCTCCCTTTGGCTTTAGCTTGTTTGCTGCTGCTGCCTCCAGCTCCTCACTGCTTCTTTCACATCGCCTATAACTAGAATAAGGTAAGAAAAACCTGAAACTGCGACAAAATAGATGATGGGAGACTCCCCTGTAACTGTCTGCCGGGGCAGGCCAGGTGCCACCACTCATCCTGGTTTCAAGCCTGGTCTGCTGTTACAAATTGGCTCCGAGTTCACCTTTAGGTGTCAGTTCTGCCCGCTTGCTTGGAGATGTCAACAGCCTCTTCACCAGCTTGAAATGATGCGCTGCTGGAAAGCCTCAGCTCTTCCTCGGCTCTGCTCTCACCGCGCCCCGTGCTCCATCACTTCTCATGGCGCCTCCCCTGCTCCTCCAGCCCCTCCTGCTCTTCTGATTACAAGTTGCTGCAGAGCGGGATCTTGTCCTCTTGCTCTTCTGTAAGATGTCCTGTCATCCTAAAATGCCATAGCCATCACAAATAATGTAGGGCCAACACTTCAATGTTAGAAACTCAATAAACAAATACTTGGTGTTCATTATCCTGCCCTTCATGTCAGCCCGTGGAGGCACCGCCACCCAGCACATGGCACACCCGCGCCATGGCATCCAGCAAAACCGGCGATACAGGTGCTTCCAGCAAGCTTTCTCAGCTACACTAAACAGCAGCTACGTGTGGAAAGCCTACTAGTTGGGACGGGGCAGAGGTTTTGCTGTTACGCTAGTTGTAAGGTGTGCATGGTGGTGCTTCTCCTCCAGCTCCTCTCTGGGTACCAGAACGGTGTCCAGATGCTCTTCACCTCACAGGGCGGCTGCTGCTGATGCCTGTGCCCGCACCTGGGGGAAGCTGGAAAGCACTTTTGTTGATGCTGTTGCAGCGATGCTGCCAGGTTACAAACCAGTCTCAGTAATTCCTCTACGGACAACTGATGAAATAAAGAGTGGTGCTTTTCCTCCAGCTCCTCTCTGGGTACCAGAACGGTGTCCAGATGCTCTTCACCTCACAGGGCGGCTGCTGCTGATGCCTGTGCCCGCACCTGGGGGAAGCTGGAAAGCACTTTTGTTGATGCTGTTGCAGCGATGCTGCCAGGTTACAAACCAGTCTCAGTAATTCCTCTACGGACAACTGATGAAATAAAGAAAAGAAAGCCTGAGCACAGCTCCAGAGCAGGACCTGGGTTTTGGGGGACAGGGGATGGGGGGGTAGATTTTAGCCAAACCTACCTCTCTATAGGGCACCACACAGGAGGGGGGTCCCACCGTGGCGGGGGGGGGCCAGT